CCCCCCCCACACACTCTGCAGGTTTTTTTTCTCCTTTTGCTAGGTAGTTGCAGATTAGAGATTTGTAGTCTGAGTCACAAAGCTTCTCAGGCAGGGAACATGGCTAACGAATGCCTGGTACGTGTCTGTCATTCTCTGCCGTCTTAGGTTGCTCTCTTCACCCAGCTCGCAACTCAATTTGTGTTTGAGGGAGTTTGGCTTCTGTTATGGGAACCCTCTTATTTCACATCATTGTAATTATTTATCAGAATTTACCGAAATGTGATGTCATCAAAAGAAGCACTTCAGATGTAAGCATATTTTTGTATTTCCTGCAAAATACTAGCACTGAAGGGATTTCAGAGACTGTAGTCTAGTTAGCTTATTGTACACATAGCAAAGTGAGGTTCCAATAACCAAACAAGCACAATGGAACCTAGAGCTCTTGCTTTGGATCTTTTGCTGTTTGCTATTTACTTGAGCAGTTGGCAAACTTTTTTCTGAAAAGGGCCAAATGTTAAAGATTTTAGGCTGTGGGTCACATACAATTTCTGTTGTGATTTCTAAAGAAAGTGTATAGCTTTTAAAAATATAGAAATTATTCTAAACTTCAGGGCCTTAGATAAATAGAGTGCAGAGGGCATTTGACTCAGAGCCACAGTATATCAATGCTGCTGCTTCTCAGTATGTATATTAGTCATTACAAATAAGGAGAATGTGTTAGTCAACAGCTACTGCAATAATGCTTCGTAACAAAAGATCCTAACACTGACACACAACCACCGGCACGTGTTTTCATGCTCCCAGGCATGGATTGACTGAGGTGCCTCTGTTTCGTGTATCTTATTTTGGGGCCCTAGCCAGGAGACCAGTGACAATGTGGGGCATCTTTTTCACATGGTAGAAGTCCAAAGCTATCGCAAGGGTAAATAAAACTAGCAATGCTTGCTAAACTGCCTTTTATGTCGAGTTAGCCTTCTATTGCTGTGGTGAAATGTCTGAGAAAAACAGTTTAAGGAGGAAAGGTTTATTTTGGCTTATGATATCAGAAGTTTCAGTCCATGTTCTGCTAGCTCCAAGGTAGAAATGCCATAAATGAAAGGCATGGTAGATGAAAGCTGGTCACATCATGGCAGCCAGGAAGCAGAGTGAGAAAGAAAAAGCCAAGAAGGAAAAGGACAGGGACCAGATATAGTCTCCAAGGTGACTCCTCCATGATCCACTCCCTTCAGCCAGCCCCACCTCCTGCTTGTATCACTTCCCAATGAGGCCATCACATTATGATCTCACAAATTGTTTAATCCACTGATGAAGTTAGAGCCCTTCCAATCACCTTCTGAGAGCCTCTGAACACATGAGACTTTGGGGGGTCGTCTTAAATTTGAACCATAACGTATGTAAACTGAGATCCAGAATTGCCAAATGGTCATTTCCAACTCCTGTTGCCAAACGAGTCACATGGTACTACCCATCATCATCACAAATTTACACTTCTCCCTCGGAATCAGTGAGCAAGGAAGCAGCTATGAACACCAAGTGGTATTCCAGGGCTGTAAGAGGATTCTGGGAAGATGGCGGCGGTGGTGGCATGATTTGTAATGAAACTGAATGTTCTATAAATAGTCAGAAGAAGTAGGATGGCAAATCAAAGACCAGTCAATGAGCATTCCTCCAAGACCATAAATACAAGTCATGACAGTTCCCAAAACTATACAATTTAAGCATCTTTGTGGGGGTGATGCAGAAGAAGGGTAACCTAGCTTCTGATAGCCAAAAAACTTGGAGAAATTAAAAATATCCAACAGCCGCACATTGAAAAGTCTTATAGACCCCTCTAGTCTGTGACGAGAAGGTTCTTTGCAGGATCCAAATCATGGGTGAGTGAAAGAAAGATGAAATTGGGAAACAGAAAAGTCATCTCAAAAAGCACAATTTTTAAAAATGTATAAATAATAAAAGAAGTTACAATTTCAGCTGTAGTTCTTAGCTCCAGAAAGAATCTTATGTTATCAGTTTCCTTAAGCTGTCTTAATAAATTGCCACAAATTTCACTGTATAAGCCAAGAGACACTGATTCCCTCACAGCTAGAAATCTGAAATCAAGATGTCAATTGGTCCATGCCCAGAATGGGGACTCCAGGAAGAAAATCCTTGCTTGAGTCTTCCTGGCCTCTGGTGGCTGTTAATCCTTGGCTTCATGGTTCCTGAAGCATCACTCCAATACTCTGCCTTCACCTTCACAGGATCTTCTTTGTATGTCTCTGTGTCTGTCTGTGTCTCTATGTGTTCTTCCCTCTTCTGATAAGGACACTAGTTATTATATTTAGGACCCATTCTAGATCCTCTGAACCAGATGTATTAATTATAGAAGTGCTATAATAATAGAGTCTTGCTGGGGATTTAGCTCAGTGGTTCTACTGCCTGCCTCCCAAGTACAACATCCCAAGTTCGATCCCTGATACCAATAAGACACACATAATGGAATCTTTCACTCAGAACCAGATGCAGCTGATGGGCCTCACTGAAGCGTTTCCCTGGAACTCACACTCACCAAATAGATCCGTGTGGTCCAAGTTCATTCTCTATTCCTGAAGCAGTCTGCATAATCTAATATATTACACCACGGGTTGCTTTTATCACTCACTGAAAATGCATAACTTGAGTAAAAGCCAGAATATCAAGCAAACCCAAACCATGTGGTGTTCTACAAAATAACTGCCTAACACTTATCAAAAGTGTCAAGGTCCCCAAAGACAAAGGAAAAGGGGTGGATTATAAGAGATGGAAGAATCAGCACATAGTCTTGATTTGGAACCCAGATCGGAAAGAAAATATTAGTTGGGTAATTCCAGAAGTGTACATGGACTCTGGGTATTGGTCCTTGGCAGAGAGTTTTGGTTTCATTATGGTGGGATATTCCACTTATGTAGCCTGCTTTCCTGCTAAA